GAGTTTTATTGCCATGTAAAAGAAACTGATATCCGAAACACAGTCCTTTAGTTATCGCCAATTTTTCAGTTTTTTTTTTAATTTGCGGAGCACCCTGTACATTTTTGAAAAATTGTCAAAAATAAAAGTTTATGCAGCCAAATCTTCTACATGTCCTCGTTCAAGAATTTTTTCGGTTCCATAAACAATTTTCGAGAAATGATCTTTTCCTTAGACGCGGTTTTTAATTTTTTTTAAATACTTCCCGACCCCCCAAGCCTCCCAAGCCCCCCAATTTTAATAGTTTCCGTTAGGGGATCAAACGCTATTTGCCTGCCAAATTTGAAGTCGATAGCTTCAAATTTCGGACACTTATCGTGTTTCATAGCAACTTCCAAAAAACAGTCGAAAATAAAAAAAAAGATTGGCGCCGAAGCTTGAACGCGGCCATTTTTTCATATCTTATGCACCCCGTGGGCGATTAAAAAGTAGCAAAATATGAATGAAGCGTGTAGCTCAAACCGTTCGGAAGTTATCGTCGAAAAACCATGGAACATAGAACGGAGAACGGACAGACAAAAAAAGTTTTTTTTTCGATACTGATTCCATCTGTATCGACGGCTACGCTGTACGGTGCACCGTTATCGAGATCTTGAGTTTAGTGAGAAGCGTGTATACTTTCGGGTTTGGGATTTTGAATAACAAAATTATTGGAACTTATTTCATCGAAGAAAATGTTACTGAGGCCCAATATTTACAATTTATTCGAAATGACTTAATTCCTACATTCGCAGTTTATTTCCCAAATCCAAATCAGTCTGATATTCCAGATAGAGAGATTTGGTTTCAACAGAACATGAACAGGACAGTGAATTGATAGAAGCGGATCAATTGAATAGTCTGAAAGATCTTCAGATATTACTCCACGGGATTTTTAGATACGAAATAAGGCCAATTAATGAAAACATCCTGTGCATTTTTAACACCTAATAAAATAATTTCTTTGACGTGTTTTTTATTACTTTGCTCATAGGTAGTCAGAACACGAATTGTGCGCAAAAAACGTTTTGGAAAACTCAACGATCGAACACATAAAAATTAATCAAATTAATTAATTAAATTAATTAAATTAATGAAATCATTATGAGACACCGGTGCATATTCATAGAAAATGGTGAAATCTGGGGATCACGTCGCGTGACGCCACTCGAAAACTCGGAACTATAAAATATGAAAATTTCAATCAACGTTAAAACGATTTAATTAAATTGTCTGTTCGTCGAAAAATTCGCCCTACGCGTAAAAAAAAATCGATCAAACTTTATGCCCGCCTATAATCGGGCATCACAGCGAAATTACTCAAAGATTCTCGTTTTTTTTTTTACAAATGCATTGTTAAAAAAATATGCTACGTTTATATGGCCAAGAAAAGAATCCTAAGCATCTGAATCCCAGTACCTGTTTTGGAATTTTACAATATCGATTTTATTTTTATTTTTATTAAATTTTTAGTTATTTATAATAACACTTTCTCTCATTGATACTTTTAAGGTAGACATTTCGTTTTCAAGAAACCATCATCAACGTTATTTTAAGTACACTCTATAACTACCCATCTATTAGAGTTCTAATATATTAGAGTAATTGACGTTATTGTTACTGTTGTCCTTGTTAATATTTTTTGTTACTATCAATTGAAGACACTGTTTTTAGGGTTTGCTCAAATTTTCTCCCTTCTTATTATTACCTTATTACCATATCAAAGGAACTAGAAAACATTGAACCAAAAGTTAATAAAAGTTAAATATAAAAGTTTGGCAGGGGCCACTATCAACTTTTATATTTCAAATTAAATACTATAAATAGTATGGGGTTCAAAAGCAACTTTTCGGAATTGCTGACGTTCATCTTCATCACTCGCCTTTATTATGGATTTCAAACTTATTTCAAATTCTCTCTGAGTATTAAAAAGGATACTCTTATGATTTATTTATTTTGCAAAACTTGCCCTAATATAAACGAAATTTACTGACATGAATAATTCTAAAACAAACAAAACAAAACTCAGTTTCATTTAGATATTGTACACCGTCATGTATTTGGTCTCATTATTTTAAAAGGTCTTTAAGAGTACCCCATAGAAAAACACCGGTGGAGTTAGGTCGGGGCTCCTTGTAGTCTAAGATCCCACTGTAAAAAATATGTCCTCATATACCAGATGAAAAATATTTTTTTAATTTTAAGATATTAGATTTTTATGACGATAAATTTTACACGCAAAGAGAAAGAAAGAAGACTCAAAAAGACCTGAAATAAATCAGTTTAAATATCTGGAAAATAATTCCGCAAAACGTTGTGTTTAAACCCCTTACTCTTATACATAGTTGCACTCCCCTTGCGAAGGTCTATCTAAATCAGTATTAATACACAGGGTATTCGATATGAAATAAAAAAGTTACTAGTGGTCAGGGCGTATTCATAAAAATATAATAAATGAAAATTGAAAATTTACCTAAGCAACTTTTGTATTAAACTTTTTGTTCAGTTCCTGAGATACGGTAATCGTGCCTCATAAATGGACCAACCTGTACATTTTACCATAATCGCTGTTTCTCAATTTTGGAATATTCAGCTTACCTTTCGTTACAAGTGTGCCATGATAGAACACAATTACTAACTTTTAGTTTTCGTGAATACGAATTCAGATAACGGTGGAAGTAAATCGAGGAATACGAAAGTAAACAGGAAAAATTTACTTAAAATTTACTCCTCAAACCGAAAAGTCTTCAAGACGAGACGAGGGTCTGTATAAATATTAGTGTGAGATTTGAGTTAATCGTTGAAATCATATAATCAGACAGTGTGAAATTATTTAATTAAATTAATAATCGAATTCATGGTGAAACTTTTTAATTGAATTTACTTAAGAGTCAACTTTTCGTTTCGAAAGACGTGCCCGACAAGAAATTGAATTGTTTAACGCCGCTTTGGTGGAAATTAAACCTTTAGGGCTCTTTGAAAGATATAAAAGGCAAGTTGCCATGCCGTTGCAATTGTAAATTTTTCCGGATCTCAGAAAACATGCAACCAAAACGTTAAGCAGCGTACAGTAATTTTGATATTTTAATGAAGACGTCCAAGTTTTGAACTATATTATGTCATAGTTTTTACAAAACTTCTGGAGTCCGCCTGCATCGGCTTTTGCTGACTCGAACTGCTGACGTTTCGCCAATCATCCTGTTGGCTTCTTCAGAGCTTGACAGAAACTGGCTCGCATTTTACTCTGTACCTGCTTATATATTGGTTGAGGGGGGCGGAGTTAAATGAGGGGCATAAATAACATCTCGGATGACTGATCCTACTGAGTCGCGGTTAAGATTGTTAGGTTGTTGATAGATTTTTCGTTGTTATTTGGCCTCATGGTCAAGAAACCCTTGTAGATTTTCTTAGACATACACCCTAACATTAAGTGGGAAACTAAAAATAACTTTCCATTCTTAGATAATTTCATCAATAGAAAATCAGACCTAACATTGGGTCATTGTGTTTACAGAAAAGCTGCGCACACAGACCGATACCTTAATGCATGGTCACCTCATCATGCTGCCCAAAAATCATCAGTTATCAACTCTCTTAGCCCGAGTCACTGAACCCAGAATTAAAACACCTTACCTCTTCTCTTCTCTCTAATAATTTTCACATTAAAGATATCAAGCGTTCCATCAAAAAATATACTTCACCACAACCTTCCAATAGCAATGAGACCGAAAGCAATCCTACCATTGCCACTGTGGTCCTTCCCTAGATTCAGAACATCACTGACCACATATCAAAGGTTCTAAATAACTATTGGGTCTGTTAAAGACAAAATTCCATTTGAGATGCCAGGAGTTTACAGCATTCCATGCATATGCGGCAAAGAATATATTGGAAAGACCGGACGAAAAATATCAACTAGGGTCAAAGAACATGAAAGAGCCTTACGACTAAGACAAATAAACTCATCAGCTGTTGCCCAACACAATCACGAAACCGGACATAAAATTTTATTCCATAAAGCTAAAATTCTTGAATGTAATCAGTTCTTCTACCAACGAAAAATCTGAGGGTCTATAGAAATCTATAAACAACCTAACAATCCTAACCGCGACTCAGGTATAATTTAAGGTACATCCGCTAGCCAGATATTTCTTATAAGTCATAACGTTATCATATTTTTTAATATATATTATAGCAAATTCATATTCATTTTATTTTATTATTTTATGAAAATTACAATTAGTAGAATCTAAAATTCATCTTTCAAATAACAAATTTTATTTTTTAACGCTGAACGATATCCACCTCAACAAAACAAAGAAATTTTCGAAAAGTTTACGTGAAATGTTCATTATGATCCTCACTTTCTGAGGATGATATAATTCAAAATTTAAAGCGCCTTAAATACTAAATTTTGCCTAATACTCAATCCTTACTCTAATTTTTACTTTTCATGATGGACGATAATTGTAGGACCGCTGTAGGAAGGAACATGTTCATTAGATGTTTATTGGCAGCGCAACGAGATGTCGACACCAAAAACAATGACGGGGCAGTAATTACATTTTAAATCATAGAAAATTTCAATTTATAAACGCATACGGAAAGTTACGAATAGTTTCTTTGTTAACTGAACATATGAATAAATGCGGCCATAGAAACAATTGATTTTTATAAATAATATAACTATGATCTAGTTTTCTATAAATACTGCTTTAATTAACACACAAGTTGGGGCAGGACTTTTAAAATAATAACAAAATTACGATTTTCGCTTAGGTTGCTTTTACAACCTACTGTTAAAAAGGTAATTTTAAAAACGTTTGCGAAAATTTGGAAACCGTGGTTATTCGTAACAATAAATTTGATTGTTACTACACCGTGCGCCCTTCGTTTCGGAAAAGCGAATGAAAAATGATTTTTTCGATCCGGCGACCATTAATTTCCACTTTGATGGCATAGTATAAAAAAATAAAACATACCGGCACGAGTTTCCCTCGTCAAACTTAACCATACGACGACGACCGTTGTCAAAACCAGAGCCAACTTCATTTCGTTCACTCCGATGAGCCTTTTATGCGGCGGTTTGTCTCGTGCGTGTTTCGCGATCCGCAAAAAAAAAAATGCGGGAGAATTTCGACTGGCACTGCGATCGTCTGTAAGGCGCGGGGGCTGGCCGTGTTTTCGATACCGCGGTGTCGGGAAAACTGGTGGAAAATCAAACAGGTGCTTTTCGGAGATATCGTCGCACAGCTGCGGAGAAGTCGTAGAGTGGGACGGGACTCGCGAGAAGTTGCGCGACTTTGGTAGAGAAAAAACTTTTGGCAGGACGCGACCAAACTAATTTAACTTTGGCGGGGGAGAATTTTGTATCGGTTTAAAAAAAAAGCGCAAAACCTTGCATTCGCAAATAAAAATTCGACACATTGATAGGGGAGGGTGGGGAAGGCGACCCACTTAAGCTTTTTATTATTTTTTGTGGCTTTTATTTTCGACTAACTTTAAGTAAATTTACCCAAATTTTGGTGAAGCTTCTGGCGGTCGCACAGTGGGCCAGGGACCAATTCGATTTTTTTTGTAATGGCAATAAATTTTATAAAACACAACAATAAAAAGAAAAAAATATTACGAACTTTAATACAATATAATTATTATACAGGGTGTTTACAAAAAACTCTAATATACAAAAAGTTTTTAATTAAATCTTGAAAACGGTTTAAATGTAGAATTTTTTTTAAATAATTATATTTCATTAAACAAAAAAAAATACAGGATGTCCCAAAAGCAACAATTTACCAAAAAAAAAGTTGTTTATTTAATACAGATTAAAACAAAATATTGTTATCGGATTTTTTAAAATATTTAAGTTTGTTTGCTTAAAAGAAACGAAATAAAACAATAACAGGGTTTTTATACATCCAAAGTAAGGACTTGCTCTATTCTTGTTACAATTTTTGCATTAGTCATAGCTCTAAAAAAGTTAATCCCTTGCCTTGCATTAAGAGCGTTCATTTAGTCTTAGTCTCAAAAGAGCATCATAATCCATAGTAAGCAAAAGTTACAACAATAATAACAATGCCTTACATGAATCAAACTTCAGTTACACTATCGCTCTATATAAAAAAACAGATTTATGTATTAATTATTTAACAACAATAAATAAGAAACACTTTAACTAACTTTAAAAAAAATTATATTCACGAACTGTTATAAAAAACAATTTTTTTAATAAAATATTCCAGAATCACTGCTTCTACTATCACCACTGTGGCTAAAAGATGAAGGGTTTGGATTAAATGATATTAACAAATTTAAAACGTCTTTAACTAGGTTTTTCTTTTTAGATAACTTTAGTTTTCTTAAACTTAGTGTCCACCCTTCTCATTTTTCTTGCATGATGTTCTCGGTATCGTCTGTACTCTTTATTCCGAGCTTCTTGAGCTTCCTCCGATAACTGTCCGAGACATGATTAATTAATTTCTCCCCCACGAATAAGAATTTTATGTATAGTGACGAGCATTACAAAAAATGGGTTATTTCGGCATATATATAATTTAAAAAAAAAAATGGATTTCTAAAGTCTCTTTGAATCCCTTGCTTTTCGTTTCGAATTGCAATTTTGCCCTCTCCAATACCTCGCCATTTTTGTAAATTTAAACGGTAGCTTATCTTAAGCAGGCATTCCAGACAGCGTGAATCCACGCATGTAAGGTAGACATTCCAAAATTTAAATAGTCTTCCCTTATTGGTCTTTTTAGTACCAGATTTATGCTATTCATTTGCGAAGGTAGAGCCTGACACTTGTGTGACGATATATTTGTCAAGGCACTAACCATTTTGCCATTTTTGTCTTTTTTAGATATTTCCCTGGTTTCCTGTAAAGATTTAATTTTGATAGGCCTGCAATGAACAGTTAATGAGGGACGCGGCTTCTGCCATATAAACTTTATTTCGTTTTTCAAATTTTTGAGTATATTTCAAAAGGAATCAAACAGGACAAAAGTAAATTATTTTCAGTCAAATCACCTTCATGAAAACCTTGTTTGTACTCTTTTGCCCCGGTCTACCATCACATCCCCACTTACTGACTATTATTTTCATCAAAATTGTCGGAGGAAAGCTCTAGAACTGAAAAAAATCTGGATACAGTATGGTCCAGCAATGACTGTAACGTAACATAAACATAAAACGTAACATACAAATAAAAAGTGTTCTGTAGCAGTGATTTATAAGGTGTAACGGAATTGTTTAGCGTTTCGAATATCATTATACGGTAGATGTAAATTTAAATTGACATTGCTATCTGCTATCTGCTATTAGCGACAGTGCTTTTTCTGGAGACGTCTAGGGTTGCCTCGTTCTATTGTTATTATTTGGTAATTTGAAATGCTGGACTGACTCGTTGGATGAGTTTGCTACTGAGCTAATAAATTTGCCGCTCTTGGTTTACCCGAAGCACTTAAACTCATTTCTGCAGCAAACACAAATCCATTGCTTTCACATTCTCGGAGTTGTTTCGTTCTTTTATATTTCCCTGTGTAGCTTAATGTGTCAAAATGTATTTTTTGTCGGCCCACGGTGGAAGTTTTTTGTTTATTGCACGGTATTGTTACATTTCTTTCCAGGCATTCTGCATAATAATAATAATGTTTATTTCCATTGACTATTAACAGAAGTATCGGATAAAGTCAATAAGTAAAAAAAAATACATTAGAACACGAAAATACAAGCTTTGAAAACAGATACGCACAAAGTCAAAATAAATAAAAACTGAAAGTTCAGATTTTCACGAAATTATATATTTTTATATGACAATTGTTTCGACAACACCGTGCCTTTATCAAATGTAATATTTACAAACTACTGAAAAATGGCAATACAACCTTAATTAATGTTGTTGTGAGAATTTAATTTCAATAAAGGAGAGGTATTTAAATCTAATAGATCGTTAAGCAATACATTTGAATGTCTCTTTTGTTAATCTCCACGGGTTCCAATAAATTGAATTTTCTACTTTTTGTGACTGCACGTAAAATATCAAATTTTCGTCAAAAATGTGTTTTTCTGTGTTTCAGTGTGTAGCATAATTTGAATATAGACTATTGTATTTAAACAATCTGTTTGTCCAATATAAATTTTAGGATAAGATCCGCATTTCAACCTACGGACACTTGATTTTTGAGATTTTTGACATTTCGTTTTATTGCTTTTTAAAAATTTTCCTAATGTGTTGTTAGTTCTGAAAGCTATTTTTAAATCACATTTTGACAAACGTTTTGAATCTTTTTCACTGGGTTCTCCTATGTATGTAATTGTTTTAAATTGTTCGTGTTCTGTATTTGGTTTCGGATAAATAGAGTTTACTTTTGTCTCGATTAGTTTTTTATTTATAATTTTATCTATAATGGACGGATTGTAGCCGTTGTTCAGTGCAATTTGTTTAATGATATTAAGTTCATTGTTGTAATTTTCTGTTGAGAGTGGCGTATTAAGAAGTCTGTGTATAAAAGAGTTAAATGCAGACATTTTGTGTGTATAAGGGTGATTTGAGCTGTTATGTATGACTGTGTCCGTGTGTAAACGTTTATGATAAATGGAAAAATCTAATTTGTTTTGCGTTTTCGTAATAGTTGAGTATAAAAAATTAATAGAGTTATCATGTTCAATCTCGATAGTGAATTTTATACGATTATGTAATGAGTTAATGTAATTTAAAAAACAATTCAATTGACTATCCGTTCCAACAAAGCAAGCAAAGACATTAGCCACGTACCTATACCACCATAGAAAACTTTTACTTAAAGGATGTTCTAGTATGATATTTTCCAAATTATCCATAAGAATCTCAGTTAACAAAGGACTAAGTGGGTTCCCCATAATCAAACCTTCTTTAGAGATGTAAATCTGTCCATTAAATTCAAAATAATTTTGGTCTAAACATACTATTAAGCAATCTAATAAATCTTGTTTTACCAATGGGTTAACCTGTTTCCGAGTTAGGGTGAAATCTACTAAGCCTATCACATCCATAGGTGGAATACTGGGAAATAGGTTTTGTACATCAAAAGACAATAGTGTTGCGTTAAAAGGGATTTTGATACCTTTAATTTTGTTGATTAATTCAAAAGAATTTTTTATTACAAATTTTGATTTAAAATCTGTCTGGAACTTTAAAACATTTACTAATTTTGTTGAGAGTTAAACTGCTGGAGCTGTAGCATAAGACACGACTAAAGAATATTCTTTATTCTTTATTACATTCTTCTTTATTGAACTTAAATTCTCACAACAGTAATTAAGGTTTTATTGCCATTTTTCGGTGTATATAGTACCAGGTAGTTTGTAAATATTACATTTGATAAAGATACGGTATTGTCGAAACAATTGTCATGTAAAAATATATAATTTCGTGAAAATCTGAACTTTTAGTTCTTATTTATTTTGATAAATGGATTTTCAACAAGCAAAAGCCACCTCAGATCAAACACACAAAGTATACAACACTGAGAGATCGGCATTACTACAATCAAAGTATTCTTCGATAGAATAAAAAACGTTATTATTCGAAATAAGCTTTAATTTTTGCTTAAGTAAATGGACACGCAATATCTGTCTGACGGACAAAGGCAACTTATTATATAGTTTTATTGGTAAAATAATAGGGCTGTTAGCTACTTTGGCGAACTTATGACTTGGTATCTGCAAATTAAGATTAGCTCTAAAATTGTAATCTCCATGCAATAATTCGATAGGTTACACTTCATGTAAATTATGCTATTTAATATAAAGAGAGAGGGAAACGTTAAAATATTTAATTTTGAGAACAGGGTTCTACAAGAGTGACCGCGAGACTTCACCAACATTGTTCGAACAATACGTTTTTGTTGGACAAAAACTTCACTAGCTCTGGAAGAATTTCCCCAGCATATAATGGCGTAAGATAAGCAAGATAAGAAATAATACAATAGTAAAAGCTGAAGATCCACACTCGGCCGCAGTCTCCAAATAACAAAAGTATTCATAGCCATTTTGTTTAATACGTAGTCAATTTGGCCTGTCTAGGACAAATTACTGTCTATTAACAAACCCAAATACTTGACAACGTTAGTGTGATTAATCAATTTATCCTACATTCTAACCAATAAACTCTTGTTCAAATCCCTAAGCGAAAACAACATCA